TTTAATATCTGTAAATATAAGTATAAATATTGCTAAGAAGTCTCGTGCGATTTATTTAAATTTATTTCGACCTAATTGAACGCAATTCACGACAGTTAATTGAACGGATATTATTGTAAAATTTAAAGCTCAAAACCCTTTTCTTTTTATTAACTTGTTTTTTTAGCGTTAAAAACGTTGTCGTCAAGAATGGCCATGGTCAATGTCGTGACTAAAAAATGATTGTTCAATGATTTAAGTAGGTATTAATAATATTTTAAGACGTAGATCCACTCTAATTAGAGCTTATGCGTGATAGCGACCCATAAAAAGTATTTCGGCCCTAATGAATTAAAACAAAATAAAAAATATTTTGCAAAATGCCAAAAATAACGCTGTAATTTACTCCCACAAATTATTATTATGCGGAATTGTTATATAATGCGAGTAAATAATTTACCAGCGCGTTTTTGTTTAATAATATGTTTGTATGCGTTAAACCAGGTAGGTAGGTGGTAATATCAGTTTTAACTTGCTATCCAATTTTAGCAAAAACGAGAAATTACAATTGTTTTAGATTCTTTTTTTCCCTCTGAAAAGCTTAGCCCACCGTTTATTAAATTATTGTATTTATTGACACAAGACTAGATATGGATTTTCAACTTCAATTTCGCCGATCGACACTTGAACAAACAGTTCTTTCGAGGCCGCGCCAGGACGTCGAATGTCTCGTTTGACGAAACCAAAATAGTTAACTGCTATATGCATTTTCTTTGCTTAAAGTCAACGCTTACAACTTTGGCAGAGTATTTCCCACTGCTGAAAATCCGTGCTATTGGCGTCACTTGTTTTTGTGTATACAATGTGTTTATTTAGAGTAATAGCGGGCTGTGCTAGTTTCATAGTGTATAGGTAAACACACAAGCACGGTAAATATAATATGCATGAACATTATAGCGGTGTGTACGTGAACTGTACAAAACCGCTACGCGCTTACGTTGGTATTTAGTATAATAATATTAGAGTAACGCAGATTATTGATACTAATATTTAAATCTACTTTGAAAACGATATCCATCGAGGTAACCTTGCTGTGCTTTGTATACAGTTGTGCAGCTGGCGCATTAAATAAAAAAATGAATCCAAAAGTGAAATAGTAATAATTTATTGAGTTTCGGTCGTGGCGTTTAGTTAAAATGTCCTCAACAAATGTCGATATAGTATAAAAAAAAAAAACAATAATATTTTCTATTCGTTAGTTGAGTATTAGAAAGAGAGATAGTCTACACGATAGATTGTGGTCTTACATTTAGTACATAATACTATAATACTGGAAAAGGCGATGCGACATGTCGAAAAAAAACTTTAAACTTTATTTATTAATTCATACAATATTCGATAAGTGTATAATACGTTTGCGTGTGTTGTTGTTGTGAAGATGCTTGTTTTGTTAGAATGTAAATATTTTAAGTACTTGTTTGTATACCATTAATGGCGCCGTTTGGAGTACAATATATGTAAACGTCGCTATGTCAACTAGGTGTATCCCTCCTTATACCTACATATATCCGACAAAATATTTTAAGCTGCTTATTATATCCCTTACAATCGATTGTGTTTGCTGGTCTTTCTTTATTTTCAAACACAAGTGTTCACCGCTAGGTCAATGGTTTTTTTGTGAATTTATAAGAACGCGTTTGAAAAACTTCTATCCTAAAAATCGCTGCACCCACTCGCATGATTTTGTTGTGGATTAATGCAGATAAATAAAATTTTTTTTTTTAAATGACATTCAGTTCAACCGCGAAAATATCAATAAAATTTAAATTAAAGTTTTGTCCTTCTACGCAGTTACTAAAACGCATATAAATAAGCGTTGAACTTTCCACGGAGGCGTGCTGGCGATAAACTACTCAAAAGAAGTTTGTTAAAACACATAAAATGATAACGATAGTTTTCAATTTAAAGTTTTTTTTATTTCCAAAGGCCTCAACTTTATTTAATATTATGCGTAGGTGAGACAAAGTTAAACCAAAACTGTCAGCTATGATTCGCGTGGAATAAAAACATAAAAAAATAACTTGTCACGACATGGTAACCATGGACAATTTTACAATTATACTATATAATATTATTCTAGGCACCTCGAAACTTTTATCTATGTAAATTCGGGTTTTGTCTGAGCATAATGTTAAAAAATCGCTTAAGGTCACAAATGGAATTTTAAATTTTAACAACAGTCTTGTGTTCTGGTCCGAATGTCTTGCAAAACAAACCAGAAAATCGATAATAACAAAATGTCGGCCATAATAATAATTGATCTGTGTTGTATATCCAATACATGTTATTGGCATTTGGGTAGAAATCCGGTGCCCCCGAAGTTCAGCATGAGTATATTAAATGTACCGGAAAAAAAAAAAATCGCAACGTTCTTTTGATGAAAGACCTTGTTAGGAACAACTAAAACGCAAAGGTGAAATGCAAAAAAAAGATACCTTCTAAGCGCTAAGTGATTATTTTTCGGTGTATCCGCATCGGTCTGCATCTGGGTTGGAAGCGCTTTCATCGTGTAATTGGATTATTGCAAAAACAAAAAACAGGCATTATAGTGGACTGCAACTATTCAAACACCGTCGACCATTAGACCGTAAACAATGTTTTTATACACGATAGATACAGTTGGTCATAACGTGATTACCGTTGAGATTAATCTTGCGCCCTAATAGTTCAAAAGTTTTAGCAAGATAAACATTAGAGGGAGTTTGGGGAATAAAAAGTTTGTTATAACGTTTCAAGACGGCCGATTATACTAATTATTTACCACTATCAAGTCTTACATTAGCTGATTTACAGTATACATAATTTAGTATAACGATATTGGATGGATTATCATGGGCGTAGGGCAGAGTAAATTTGTAAATTATTTATTTAACAGTGTGTAATTAAATTACAAGTCTATCAACATATACATTGCATGTCATTCTTAGTACCTAGAATTTAATAAATTTGATATTTTAAAATAAGTAATTTTTGTAAAAAAAACTCACCAGTAGGGGTTATTTGAGGGTATTTTTTTTTTGCTCGCTCAGCTCTAAACCCAGAACTAGTCTGCGTGACGCGTGATAGATTTGTTGTTGTAGTTTTTCTGTGGTCTAAATTGATGTGGTTTGTATAGATGATAAAAATACCATTTGTTTCGACTCTTGCTCCTGGACGTTTTTCTCGGCTACATCAAGTTACTTTATCATGTATACCCTTTTAGACGCCAGCTATATATGCATGTATAAATGCGTTATATTAAAGCGAGGCAGGCCGTTTCAACTGTTTGCCACTGTTGGATAATAATTTTGGCGAGTGTCAGCGCCAAAGAAACGAACCTATTAATATCAATTTGCACTGCGAAGGGAAGTTGTGGCCATTTGTTTCCTGTCGACCGATACTGTACTGCTATTCTATTCTCTCGGCCATGATGCCCGCACCCTGCTAATCCTGGGTGGCTCAGGATGATGGAGTTTTTTGAAGACTTACTTTTTGTCGTTGAGAGATAGCGCCCACGCTCACCTTTCATTGTTCTGCCGCTATTTTTAAAAATATAAACACATAAGAATTCATAATTTCATCTCTATCCGTCGACCAATCTGGACGTTTGCCGAAATTTGTGGACATGTTATTCCCCAACAACTAAAGTACGACATTTTCTGGGTCTTGCTGATAAGGGATTTTCGAGTTATAATCCAGTTTGAAACCTTCTCAGTGGGTCCCTCCTTATAACTTGGAAACTAAAAAATGGCATTTAAATCGGTTAAGCGGTTTACGAGGAGCTGATAGGGAACCCTTTTGATTTTATATAAATCTTATAAGTCTTGAGGATTTACAAACAAACCGTATGTAAGTCTGTCAAATTCACCTACCCACATTGTATACGGATAACTTTTGACCTATATAATCGAAAATTGGAATAATACAATTTTGAAAGCCTGATTTACAAGTCCTCGTACCCACACCACCATCTATATTTTTTCAATCGTAAAAATTACATACAATGTACAGTTTTTGTCATAATATTTGTTGGTTTGTTACATAAACAATATGCTAATCGAATAGTTAGGTATAAGAATTTAATTGTACATTAATAGCTGTTGTCGCGATTTGAATTAGTAGCAAATTTCTGCAAGACCGGCAAACGACTGCCTTTTTTTTATGACTTGAGTTTTACAACCGTCCGGCTATTACAGTTTTGAAATAGTATACAGTAATATTATGTGTTGTGTAATAACATTATAATATGTATATATATATAGTATGCATCGAAGTTTAGGGTTTTATTATCTCTTTTATTGTTTTAACTCCACCAAATAAGCTGAATTTGTCCTTCGTATCGGTTGGCAAAAATCGTTTTATATACTTCTGTAAATACTTGGTGTAGACCACTATATCATGTAATGTACAATTCCACGTTGAGGAGTTTAAGTTATTACTATAATATCATATCATATCGGTTGAATTTCAAATTGTAACAATCAAATCAATCATCACATAGTTGCCCCTTAACGTTATGTTTTTAGTTACCCTATACAATACAATTATGTATGCAAATTGAATAGGAGTTTATAACGTACGGGGATAACTAATTATATATAGATGTATATATTGGCAATTGTAATTGTATTTCATTGAAGATTAGAGAGACGTTCGCTGTGCGTAAAACCGCCCTGGCCACTACATTTATTTAATTTACTGGGTTAGACCTCGACGGGTTAATGGATATAACCACGGTACGGCCACAGACTTATGCGTGTCTGGATTGTTAAAATAAATTGGTATAGCAACGATTTATAAATCCCTGGATTACCAACGGTTAACGCTTAAGTATAGGCAAGCCTTTACGTCACAATATGTTTGCAGGGAAATGTGTTTTGTAAAGATATTGACAGTAAAATATTAAATAAATACTTTGACAATGCTATTTTGTATAACTTTTAATTTTATTAAATCGTTTGTGGTTTTTGTTTTATGTTTAGTCATTTAGATGCTGAGCTATTAAGTCGAACATGATTGGCCCTTTACTAAAAGCGGCCTTCGTCTCCATATTTCTAGCCATCGATATCAACTGCGACCGTTACAACGGTAAGTAGTTTGTAATCGTGTATTGTCTGTTACGCTTTGGAAACAAAGTCTTAAAAACCACGCATATTAGCATAGGTCGTCTATTTGTTTAGGTATTGTTATCAAGTGTAAATTAAACTTCACTAGCTACCTGTAATAATAACCTCTTGAATTTTAGTACCTAGTAGTTAGATCAAAAAATCTCCAACGGTCTGAACATGAATGCAAATTTAGTTCATATCAGAACTGTGCATGATATAATATCATTAACATGTTAACATGTTATCTAATAGCAATAATATACACAATTCGTATATATGGTGCTATACTTTACATTTTAAGATGTCAAACTAATTTTTATCATTGGCCTTCTGGACCCAACTACAGATATTACATTGTACAGTGATAGTAATTCGAGATGTTTTTTTTTTTGGTTACCGATTTTACCTGTCACTCTAATAATTTTGGCGTTTGGATTTTTTTTTAAAATTATTTGTCGAACAAAGAAGTTTTTAAATTATTATTTTGATTAGACTCGTTCATTTGTATTTCTGTCCTGTCGCCTGTCAGTGTATTAACTATGACTTTTTGATTTACTTTTAATGCATCTGGAAATTAGGATGGCCGCCGAGTTGGAAGAAAAATACAGGTAAACCGTTTTCACGAATTCGCGGTATCTGGTTTTATTTGATTTTAATAGACCTCCAAAGAAAGCTTTGAGAGAAACATAGTTTGAAATCTTACACAGCATGGCGTTACATGTACTTAAAATTTTAACTGAAGCTTGTTGACATCAGATCTGACCGGCAATCACACTTCCAAGTTACGCTGTACACACATTTTATTAATTATATTGTTCATTTGATATAGATGGAATGCCATAGAAATATATTGAGAATCATTTTTGTTGTATTTATATCATATTTTGAATTTATATAGTTTTGAAGTTGCTTAATGTGTTATATTTTTTTTATGGTATAGCGTTAGATTAGATTGCCAGGTCATAGAATATTAATTTATAACATATGCAAATTGACAGCCCTTGGCGTTCCACCATCATTTTTAAAACCATACTGTCCAAATGCCCTGCTATGGACAAAAGAGTAGGAAAGTGTGAAAAATTAAGTGTTATTTTGTTTATTATGAAGCTCGGTTTTACTTAGTGCAATCCTTCTATTATTATATTAGCATTTGTTGTTCGTTATTTTATGCAAATACAAATAAATAATACATTCTTTTAGCTATACAAAATTTAGAGTAGTTTGTGACTTAAGTATACAAAAATTGACAATGTAATCGAAAAATTGTATGTTTATGAACAATAGGTAGTTTTCAAGCTTGTAGTTTAGATTTGAGTAACAAATTAAATGTAAGCGTCGAAGTAGAGCTGAGAAAGCGTTAATTATTTTTAATTAGATTGAAAAAAAAAACATTGTTCTCTTGAATTTACTTATTTCGTTCACTGTTAAGCCACTTAATAATAAAATATTATTTCTATAAAAAAAAATACTTCATTAACAATTTTATGGGGTATACAAATCGATAGCCCACAAATATCGAGATCGACAAAATTTAACTAGTCAATAAGCGTTAAATTTATAAGGTTTTTAGTAAGATGTTTGTGTTATACTGATTACCACCATTTGGGATATTTGCGAGTACATGTCGATGTCAAAATATAATGTTATTACATTGTTCCTTGGGGGGATTGGTTCATTTTATTTTCGATCAAAGAGATGATAGGCAAAGACCGGGAAAGTGGCAATTAATCGTGATCCGAAAAATTCTATTACAACCAGTTATGTCTGGTTAACTTACACAATAAGGTTTATTTAAAATGTTGCAATATTTACCTAATACTGATCAACTAAGGCATATTTTAACAAAAAAAAACTGTTATTTAAAAAAAATACACAGAAAACGATAAACAAATAGTTTAGTTTTGATGTCATATTAGTATTGTTTTTTTTAAAATTCATTACAAAACCCTCGAGGTTAAAACAATAGTTTTTATTACAGTTAGAAAGACAATATGTATACAGTACATGAATAAATAACAGCGTACCTATTCCATACACTTGTATACATTACCATTCGAGGATGTCTTTGGAAATAATCCAATGAAACAATACTAAAACTCAGCAGCGGATAAGTCAACAAATGGGGCTCGGATCTCAATTTGGCCCCAAAGACCTTAGGGTTCAGTAGTTGACTTGGTAATATTAGTTATTTCAATTAATGTGACTGTGTTGTTGTAAACCAAAATAATTAAATATTAGTTTAGATTGAAAGTTGCACCAACGCATATCCAATTTTTAATCGCCACAGTTGTATTAGTATTTATATGTTTACATTCAACAGTACTTTTTATAAATATTTATAGAAACTAATTTATAATTCTGTACGGCATTACCTATGCGCTAAGCGTATATTTTCTATAAATAAAACAAAATCCACTATAAAACACGAATGGAACTAAAATAACTCATATAAAAACATAGACGCCCCTGGGACTCGTATATTTTTGCTGACTTACTTTTGAAGTCAGACATAAAAAAATCCATCTCTATGCGCAGTTCAACTTAAACCTATAACCGACCCGAATAGAGTTTGATCTTAAGAACAACGACAACATATATGGTTAAGCCTGATTGTATAATATTGTGATATTATTTGACCACTGTTAAGTCGATTACAATACGGCTTAACTTAAGGTACAACGTTAAGGTTGGTAAGCTTTGGAATGGAAGCTACTAACCGCCGACGGTGCGACGCTATATTTCAAATATTTAATTACATCTCATAAATTATATAGTTTGTATGTTTTCTCTGGTAATCGGAAACCATTTAATTATAAATTGTTTGAGAGATGAGAACTTTAACTATGTTTTGTTGGGATTTGATGTATACATTTGAATAATTAAAAATATGCTTTCTCTTTATGCCATATCGTTCCATCTCCAAACCAATTTGGTTATTTTGTTTTTTTCAATTTTGCCCAAATACCGGCGACTAATTGCCAGTGATGTATCCGTTGTATAAGTAGGTTGTTGTTGTTGTTATTTAATACTGTATGTTTTAAATTGAATTTCAACGGGCGAAAAGTGCGAGCACATCATCACATACAACGCGCGTTGTTTCAGCTGCTGACGGCGAGTCGACCGGGTGGAGCCGTTACGCAAACCTCCCTCGATCAATAAGCCCGCCGCCGTTATCGTTCTGGGCCAGCATCACCACTACCACCACCACCACCAACCACTAACCACCCCAACCCCTAAATGTACGGTTTGCTGTTGTACTTAGGCGGACGGAGATGTCGCGTGGGCGAATAGAATAATATATTTTATTATTCGTACGATTAGGTTTTTTTGATGAAAAACACGTCTGAATATATGGTTTTAAACGAAAATTAAAAGTGGAAAAAAAAACGATTATCTGGGTTAACCCGTAGCTATTGGAATCTGTTGTCTGTATAACAACAGGTGCAGTGTTTTACCGTGTAAAAACAACAACGAGGATGGACTTTACGCGCCTCCGACGCAGCTCTACAAACATGTTTACTCTGATAAAAACATAATTTTCACGGTAATAGAAACATTATGACATACTTTACTACTATGCTGACCCGAAGAGGAGTTGTGTCTAACAGATATCCCCGTTAGGGCACAGTTTAATATAATATATACACGACGAATCTCAGTAGAAATCAATTTAGAATAGACCGTGAAAAATCCTTCTTAAGCCACTACCTTAAATACATAATATTAAATATAAATTTGTGAAGATGGCGCAATTTCAATAACGATAACCAAGTAGTTGCATATTTTTCATTTTGGTCGTGCGACGTGTATTATTAAACAAAAAAAAAAACTCATCATAAAACCATTAGGATGTCATTTACAAATCTATTAATAACACTGCGGAGGGAACACTACACTGAAAAGTAGCAATCTCGAGGAAAATGTAAATTAGATAATGTAAAACATTTTTTTACATCAAATTTTACTTTCTGACAACGCATAAATAATAGAAAATTCAAAACAGCATAAACTAACGTTAAACGCTAAGATTAATAAAACAGAAATGTTTTACTATGCTAAATGCTATGTTTTATAGATGATTACTGGCCATTCGGCAGCGTTGAAACCATTCCTTAAATATCTAATATGGATACATTATTGATTAATCCTGTCACCTAAATTACACACCGTCTCTACCGGTAAATAATAAATGTGACCAAATTAAAACTAGAATGTAAACACAAATTCTTCTAATTTTGTAGATTTGAAATTGGATCTGCCAAAGCGCAAAAATTTTACCACAGCATTATTTTTTACCACGAATTCATTTTTACTTACTACATAGCAAAAATTGTAACGTTGAAATAAATTTACATGGTCCCAATTCGTTGAACCCACTTTTTCTTAAGTATTGCCTATACGGAAAAATCCTTGAAAACCGTCTGTTTTCCATCCGCTTAAAGAAAATACATGTACTTATGTAAAATACGAAGATTTATAATATTCTTTTTTTTTTATAATAATAAAGATTTATATTGTACACAATCATACACAATGTATTGTGTATAGAAAATATTATGCTATGTATATACTATATTCGGTATAAGGTTCAACATTATAAAATTGTGTTTGATATCTTTTTTTTTGGTTCTCGGATAATCCCACATTATATGTTGCATTGATCATTGACGTTACAAGGAGGGAATCCTTACATTTCTTTCCATTTGACCGATTTCGCGTTAGTTCAGTCAACAGACGTTGGAAAAAAAATAAGCAATGTCGGAACACGGTTTCGGTTTTAGGTTTCCGGTATGCTGAAAGCCCAGTCAACATAATATGAACACAGTTTGTTGGGAAGCAATAAGTTTAACATACAATGGTATACACACATTACACATGAAATATCGAGCTTAAGTCTATTTATAATTTTCTTATAACAAACTTTTTCTTTATAAAGGTCTAAATTATGTTAAACAACAAACTATAGTAGTGTTGAAAATAATTGGAGAAAGGAGAATATTATCTATACAGCTATAAAAAAATGTTTGAACTGTGTTCAATTTAGTACAATTTGTGTCATAAACATATTTTAGAGTACGAAGCTATTAAAAAATCCAATACATTTTATCTTTACTGGTTAAACTCCACCCAACAAATTCAATAAATATTAAAAATGGCAAAATTAAAACTAAATTTACATTGTAGTTTGTACGTGTGATCAGACGGGTTTTTGTATTTTTTTTTATTTAGCATAGCGTTGATTAATTTTTAATTTTTTTAATTTATTTTATGTTCGTTGTTTGTTCAGCTGGGTGTTTTATTAATGTTACAGACATTTTTTATTTCTTAGGTAGTAAACCTAAACTGCTGCGAATATTAAATTTGATATTAATTAACAAGGGTTTTTGTTAAGGGTAACCCTGTCATATACTAACCTGCTTAATGGATGGACAACCCAACTGCCCAACCGACTTTAGGAGTTAAATTGTTCATTTCAGTAACGGGAAAGAGTAATCGGATGAAATTAAGAAAATATATTGGACAGGACGAGGACACAGTTTTTGAATTCACTAGACTTATTTAACTAAGTTTAATACTTGGTTGAAAATCTATGTATAAAAATAATTATGCGCTTTAAGGTTGAACTAATTTTGATTTCTGTTTGTGCAACGTAGGTAGGATGTCATTTAGTTATTTCCAAAAATCCGTACAAAAGCCATACCCACAGTAGTTACACCTCCGTCAAACCCGTTAATTAAATTGTCTCAAATCGTACACAACGCTTTAGGGATTTGACTACATGGACGTGATTTCGAGAACTTATAATTAAAATCATCATTACAGCACCGTGCAAAGTTATGTCTGCCGTCTGTCATTATTTTGTTTACGACATAGATAACCCGATAGTAATTAGCTGTATGCATAACTACACCTTGTTCAAACTAATTAGGGTTTCATTAAACTTATACATTGTATACCATATGTATGGGTAATTATATTTCTATGGACTTGAGAAATTCATACAATTTTACTTAAAATAATAATGAAAAGATCACACAAGTTTTTTCTGTGAATTCTCAAAAAATGAATTTGTTTTATTCAAAACTAACCAATAACGGAACAACAATATTATCGTCGTTTCTTCCTATTGAGTATAAAATGATGTTTTTCTTGCGGTAATAAATCTCTTTGAATTGGACTTTTATACATTTCCCGGGAGACAAGTTCGTGCAATTAATGTGGCGTTAAGCCCGAAGAAGTAATGGTTTTTACAGATTTTTGTCTCGGTCGTAAAGCTTTTATGCTAACGTCAAGTAGCTAATACGACTTCTAACCAAGATATAGGTTTGTGCGCATCACTCATTTTCCATTTACGGTTTGTACCATTATATTAAGACGTCGGCAGGACGTTTCCTATTGGAATTGTAAATTGTGTACAACAATATTAGACTCTAAAACCAAATGGCATTCTCCGATAAATCAAAATAGGTACCTGACTTCCGTAGACTTTATACTAAGTTCTGTTTTTATATGCTAATACCATACAAACGTTCAATCTACATTACGCTTGTAGTGCAACACAAATTGGAATTTTGAAAAGTTTTCGTTAATAAACTTGTAAATTGTACCTGGTATTTGTTTTAGAATATGCATGTATATTATAATTTGTACTTATGCATGAAGGTGTCATTCAATAACCAAATGTGTATTTTACTTAGGCTTTTTACTATATAATTCAAAGTTCAGTGATACTATACTATGTTAAGATTTATAGTTTTTGCCTTATACAATACTATTTACTCAAACTTTCGTGTTTATTGTTTTAGTATGACTTTTTTTGTAATTTTAAGATAAATGTAGTTACACAATTTAAATAAATACAATACATACAATACATACAATACATAATATAGAATGTTATTTTTAAGATTACTATAAGCCTAATTAAGTCCGATGTTTAACAAATAAATAATAATTAACTAGTTAATTTAATATAGACAAAAATATACATGATAATTCGTTTAAACAGTTTATATTTTGTTATATCGGCCATACATGTTAGTATATCTACTAATAATAATGCTGAAAAGTATAAATACATATTTTGTTAACGTTTAAATCTTTTTGGTTTTATAGGTTGTTTGTTCAATCCAGATGTGTGCACAAAACAGGAATGGTGTTTTGACGGTGAGCATCAATAAATAATGGTTAATCGACTTTTCGTATCGTTGAATTATACACTAATGTAGTTCCTTTATGATTCATATAAATACATAATATCTACAACTTCAAAGTATTTTCAATATCGAGTAGTAATGTTGTAATTTTAATTTTTCGACTATTTGATCATTAAAAAATACAACAATTTGTTGGGGTTGAAAAATGTGTACATTTCAAAAAAAACTACAGTATTATTATTATTATATTAAAAATAATAATATTGTAGTTTTTTTGACACTATCCAGACCACGTGGGCTGAGCTAATCCGGTTTTTAGCAAGTATTTATTGACTGATATCATATTACTCGGATATGCCATAACGTTTTCTTCAACCCGGAACATACAATGGGAATTTAGTATAACATTATATATATATATATATAGGCCACCCTTATATACAATACATTATTATAGTTTAAAATGTAAAATTATGATACCCTGTTTAGATCATGCTTTCGGTCAATGCGTATCGAAAAGGAGCTACGGAGAAGGCGAATATTTGTAAGACTTGTGTTTTATGCGTTGCAATTCGATATGATTCCTCGTGTACTAAAAATACATACCTATACACTTGTTGTAGGTACAAGCTGTTGGCCGATAACCTCCTAGTGCTAAGAGATGACTTGGTCTTTCTTTATCGCCATGGCTACAGCTGGACACACCCTTACACCCAATGCGTAATTCAGTATAGATTGAAGTCGATCAAGTTCCGTACGCCCGTTGACATTTCCATATGCAATCAATTTTCCAGACTCGGCGATGATACACAGGTAATACACAGATTTTCTCTTGTGCAAGCAATACGGAAATACACTTTTTTTATTCTTGTTGTTCTCAGTTCGACAATGCCGAAGTCGTTGATCTTCCACCACAGCCGGATTTCTACACGGAGCCAGTGAACGCAGCACGGAGTCGCGAAGGACAGTATTTTGTAGAAACTGGTAAGAACAATGTATCAAAACGATAACATATTGTAGATAATAACCGGAACTGACTTGATTGATGTTGTTGTTTTACTTCATATTTAGACGATGAATATGAAAATGTCGCCAACAATCGTTTCCGACCGAACACCGCTAGGAATAGACTTCAAGGGACGCCTTTGTACTTGCCATGGATGCCCGGTAATAATTAAAAATAACGAGTTTACAAAAACCACAACCAACCCGTTGCAACGAACCTTATTGGTTTTTTTTTGGACAGACGCCGCTAAGTCTTACGAAGACGACGATGACACCGCCGACGTACGCGACGTGCCGACTTACGGTCAAGTGAGATTCCGACAAGACTACAACACACCCGATGGTTTTAGATCAGGTGAAGAGGTCAAAGATAAAATGGTCGACGAGTGGAACGAGCTAAGACGAATGGACATGGCCTCCAAAGAAGCCGACAGTTCGGATAAGGCTTACACGGAAGGAGGTCTTGTGTTTTTGCCGAGAAAGGGTATTAAAGCATATTAACGCATCTTAAATCATTAAACAAATGTTTATGCTAACTCTATCATTAAGGTTGGGTATTTTCAGGATCCAACGAGGAGGAGGACGACGAACTACTCAGCGATTTTCTCAAGAGTTACAATCCTGATTTGGGTTGGGGTTTCAAACGACCGGAGAGACTAGACGTTAAAAAACCTGGACCTTTCTACAAAACGAACAATTATGCATTTGTTGTAAGTTGATTTTTTTTATTACATACTTTTAACTCTTATTTATGTTTATATCATGCCATTTACGTTGTACATCAACGTTGACACGAATATTCTACTATATAACTCTCTCTATGTACAATATTATCAACTACCTATGGCCAAAATAATTGTACTCGGGTCAAATTTGTTGTAATTACCTAAGCAACTTATATGAAAATCGAGTACATCTAACGGTTTACTCAATTCTAAGGGACCAATAAAGGATCATTTAAATATTTAAGAATAAGTTAAATTCTTCATAAACGCGCAGTACACTAATTCATTGTTTTTCAGAACAACGACGCTAACGATTCCAAAGAAGAAGAAGAAGAAGAAGATGTTTCAAAAACAGTCGGTAAGTAATTTATACAATAGGTTTTTATTATGCCTATAAGTCGACTTAAGTCTATGTGAAATAGAAATAAAAATTAGCTTAATATCAATGAATAGCAGGACCATTCATGAAATATTTTTTGTAGATGCTACTACTTTATTGGGAACAAATAGGAAACTAGAATCCGAAGATTCGGATTCAGGAGAAAACAAAAAGCCAAAGAAGTTAACCCAGAATGATTTTAAAACTATTTATGTGAGCAAGATTACTCCTGAAAAATCGAATACTTTGGATGAAAAAGAATCCAAGTCAAAATTGCTGAATCTACCAAATGACCATTACGACGTTGTGGACACCTCATACGTTTATGTTAAAATAAAGGAAAAGTAAATAAAATCTATTCGTGCCATGCTTAAAACTTACTTGATAAAAAAAATGTGTTGCAGAATTATTAACAAAAATCGAGCGAATCAAATACTTGAAACTTTATCTAAAATCATCGGCGTCAATTTCAAGTCGTTTGTGAACGTTCGGTAAGTAGCTGATAAATAACAAAAAAAAAAAAAACGCAAACCGTTATGAATTAATTGTCCTTAATATTTTGTGTTCAGTCTGGACGGTGATGAAATTACGTTTAAAGTACTTCCGAGCACTGGTTTAAACGCCACGGAAATAGTAAGGAAAATAGAGGTGGCGAAAGAAAAATTCGGCAAAAAATCTGGCTACACTATTGTGTCGGTAGGCATTGGGGACAAGGTAAATGAAAATATAATATTAGATTAGTTCACCAATTTATAAAAAAATTATAAACAAAAATCTTTCTAGACAAAACTCCCTTCGGTGATGATGAAATCGACGTACGAAGAAAGTAAAAATTTCGAATGGATCTTTATTTCTGTTGCTGTCATGTGCGCGGTCATAGTGTCGGCTTTAGGATTTATCTTACTGAAAAGACATACGAAAATTAAAAGCAAATTTGAAGGATTAATCGGAAGCGCCCAAGAGGTCACCAAAGATTATCAGGTACCCGTGTAACAATAATATTCACTCTTAAGATCATAAAAATATATGAATGAGTAGTAATGTTTTAAAATTAAATTTATTATTTTTAACATTAATTTATTGTCACCAAGGAATTGTGCCGAGCTCGGATGTCGAGCAAAAAAGAAGAGCCCAACGCAGCGTCTCAAAGAATAGCCAGTCTATCAAAAGATCCGGACAATAGTCCTTCGTCAAGATCGAGCACTTCTTCGTGGTATTGATTGTTTCAAAAAAAAAAAAAACAAACAAAAAAAACGGTTCGCATGTTTTAAGTTTTGAATAACACTTTTCAGGGGCGAGGAACCGGTTTTATCAAACATGGATATTTCCACTGGACACATGGTTTTGGTAAGTGAGAAAAATTATACTTAACGATAATCCGACATATTATTTTGTTTGACCGTCTCACGTGCATTTCAGGCTTACATGGAAGATCATCTCAACAACAAGAACAGACTGGACAGCGAATGGGCCGCTCTGTGTGCTTATGAAGCCGAACCGTGCGCTGTCACCGTGGCCAGAAAGGTATAATCGACGTTGCCCTGTGAGGGGACGTGATACCCCTATTTATTAAGGAGTTGGGTATAGGCAATTTTTTGAAAAATCTATATTTAAAGCTCAAGTTGTAATGTGTAATTATTAAATTAGCAATAACTAATAAGAGTTCTTTGTAAGAAGTTAATTTATTTACAGCCGGAAAACGCCAAGAAGAACCGCTACATCAACGCTTTGCCCTACGATCACGCCCGAGTCGTCATCAACGAGTATGCCAACATAAACAATACGGACTACATCAATGCATCCACGATAGTAAGACCGATGGACTTTCCTTCATTCGCCCTAAGAAAAGGCAAAAAACGTAACAACCTTTTCGACCGTTTTTCCAGACCGATCACGACCCCAGGAATCCGGCTTACATAGCCACCCAAGGACCGTTGCCCGAGACATCGGCGGACTTTTGGCAAATGGTCTGGGAACAAGGATGCGTGGTCATTGTCATGTTGACCAGACTAGTCGAGAACGATGTAGTGTTGTGTCATCGTTATTGGCCGGAAGAAGGATCTGAACTTTATCATATATACGAGGTATACCTACGGAATTATATTGTCATGTGAACGTTTTCAGTTTTAGCTTCCACGTCCGCCCGCCCGGGCATATCGGCCATTTTTTTAAATTAGAAAAACCTGAAAAAAAGACTAAAAACTTTATACCAAACACGATTAATTATTAAATAAATTAAATGTTTTTTTCATGTTTACAGTGTGAACGGTTTAACGTAAGACATGTTTAATTTTAAAAATAATACAAATATTGCAGGTTTTATTTATTTATAATATTTCCGTCAGTTTTTTTTCTACAAAATTATATATTTCCCAACGACCGGTAGTGGAATTGTTCGGTAAATTATTCTCAAATTTTTATCAAATCTACTCGTGAGCCCTTCAACCACGCCAAGTGGCACTATGCTCAGTATTATTATTTTTGGATAACGTATATGTTTTAAGCCTAGGGGTAAAACTAAAATTTGCATGGACATTTTGGTAAACCTAGTAACCGGATACGGGAAATTTGTCAAATCTAAAAAGACACCCATGATTCATTTACATTGCGTGTGCGCAGGTGCATTTGGTCAGCGAACACATTTGGTGCGACGATTATTTGGTGAGGAGTTTCTACCTGAAGAACTTGAAGACCGGCGAGACTAGGACCGTCACACAATTCCACTTCTTGACATGGCCTGACGGAGGAGTTCCGAACACTACAAAGGTTCTGCTGGAGTTCCGAAGGTACCGTTAACAAAGATTTCGATTAGGTATGACAGGTAATAATTGGCTATTGCTATTTCGATTTTCAGAAAAGTGAACAAGTCGTTCCGCGGTAGATCTTGCCCGATAGTAGTACATTGCAGGTAAGATTTTTTGTACGCTTCATGATACAGGGTGTTTCAAACGACTGCAGGTTGTGAAGTATTGGACCTACAGCGCTCTGGTAGGGCTTAAATGAAAGAGGGAGTTGTCAAGTTTCGAATGACTGCCACTAAATGTTTCACAGTCGTAACTGAATTACACTTCGCGAACTCGATCATTTTTGTTGTGCGGACGCCATCTTAACAAACTGAACAATGAAGGCTGGCGACACAAACAGGAACGTGGAGAGACATCCAATGGCAGTAATTCGAAACTTGACAACTCCCTCTTTCATTCAAGCCCTACCAGAGTGCTGTAGGTCCACTTCACAACCCACAACCGTTTGAAACCCCACCATTATTTTTGAAACACCCTGTATTGCTGCTGAACGAAATTGAATCGTTTTCGGTTTTTTTTTTGTAGCGACGGCGTCAGCCGTACAGGTTCTTATTGCTTGTTGGATATGGTACTTAACCGCATGGCCAAGGGTGCCAAGGAAATTGACATAGCCGCCACTCTCGAGCACATCCGAGACCAGCGTTCAGGTGCGGTAGCTACAAAATCTCAGTTCCAGATGGTTTTGGCGGCCGTGGCAGAGGAAGTCCAAGCCATATTAAAAGCGTTGCCCCAACAACAAACACCTCAGCCGATCCCTCCACCTCCTCCTCCCGCCCAACACTAAATTCCTCCTTCTTAACATTTGTGAGATTTTGAGTTCCACCTGTGTATGCTAGTAATATCTATTATAGGCTCAACAAAAAAATTTTAAAAAAAAAATGTTTTTTTTTTTTTGATCTCATTTACTATCTCTCTGCTAGAAACCATATAGTCCCTTTATAATCAGTTATATAATAATATAAAGGTATATATATAAATTATTACATATATTCAAAGGCTTGAAATTTAATTATTATAACGTTAACGCGATTAAAAAAATAAATTCTATTAAATTATTATAATAATTCAAATAAATCTACCCGGTCAATTGTTACCACGTTAATACAACCAGGTAAAACTGGTCAAGTTAAAAAATAGGTATTTGAAAATATATTTTAATATCTTGTTTTTTTTTTTTAAAGTTATTTTTTTTTATTTTCCTTATTCGCATAACGCAGTTGTTATATTATTTTAAAGTATTACATTAACGAGAAGAGACATTCATTTTAATTTTTTATTTACAAGGCCGTTTGGAAAATTACACAACACAAATTATCTAGTTAGGTACCTATTAATATCTATTAAGAGTGTCGAAATAGTTTTCGATTTTTGGTGTTAAGAACCATTCACATATACATTATATGCGTTTTAAAATATATAAACATACTTCATAATATATTATTACCCAACGATTAAAAATTATTATAACCTTAGAAATGATCTAAACAATTATAACTATGCAAGTTATTATATTTGATTTATGTAAGTTCTACTATAACATATATTTAAATACAATTTGAATCGTCTCTAATTGTGATGTTGTGAAATTAATTTTTAATAATTTACCTCATATTTTGTCTCAGGGTAACAATGTGGCCAAATGAGACAAGTAAACAATATTTTTACAGTTGTTGTTAGTGCTCAATTTCGATATTACCGAACAACTATCAGTTAATTTAATGTAATGGAGCCTGACCACTCTGTTCAATGGTCCCCAAATCTGTTTAAGGCAGAATTTGTCTAATTGACAGTATTAACGTGAACAAATTTATGTTTTACAATAATTTAATGCCTCAGAGTAGTTTATTTCATGAGTTTTATAATATGTATCTAGGAAAAAGCATTAAATGCGCTTAACATATACACATATTAAACCTTCAAAGGTTAGCACTTCTTTAGTCATCACGGGCAAAATTAAAATTCTATTATAAAAAATTATATTTCATTATAATCATTAAGATAAATTATAGCTACCGATTTAATATACACAACACTCGTATCTATATTATGTAAAAAAATGTACAGTAGAGTGGGGTAGAATTAAAAATAGTAAAATAGTATAATATAAAAAAAAAAAAAAATATCTTATTCACAACTAGGAAATGTATAAATACTAAAGGATCTTTACAATTACATCTAACATAATATGTGATGCGATTAGGATACAACTGAAATTTGTATAAATTGATCTTAGGAAAACGAACTTCTTGTCAGCTGAATACAAAGTTGCAGGCTTTAAATTTTAATAACTTTTTCAGCTACATAGATAGGTCTCAATTTTTTCAAAAATCAAATAAGCTTCAGTAAATAACATTAACTGAATTTTGGAAAATGTCAACAGGAGGTCCTTTTTCGCATATTATTATACAAACATAAACAGCTTAAGAAATTATTTTAAACAAAAATTCACAAAACACGCAAATAACATTAATAATACTATTAAGAAAAAAAAAACACAGACCCTATAGGTAATAACTAATAACAGAAAAATATAATTTAAACATAATATTATGAAGTACGAACATGAAACAGCAAAGGTATGGCACAATTAGACATTTTTAAAATTAGTTCGCTGCATGGGAAGTATTGTATATTTTAAAATACCTCTTTGAACCAAGTTTGATTGCGTAAAAAATAAAAATTGGTAATTTACTTATTCTTAGAGTATGAATTATTAGCCAGTGAATGACAGGCAAACGATAATGATGCATTTGATATTTCCTTTTTTTTAAACAGGGAAACAAACGACTGAATACCAGATTTAAAATATTCTGGGTCTGTGACAAACTGTTTTCTTATGTTACTGAAAATTGAACTGAATTCTAATAGAAGTTTGTCAAATTCGCTTTTTTTACTATCGGTGTCTAAGTCAAGATTATTTAAGTTTTTAAAGATGGAGTCTGTACCAGGTGAGCCATTTTTTTCATTGTCGTTTAAATATAATAGATGACAGCACGGTGTACACGTATTAACACCACAACATGAACATGTCCCAATATCCGTATCAATAAAATATGTTTCATTATTTTTACATTGTACCAAGTACATAGAACTACTGTTCTTAACACGGGAATAAGTGTAATTGTTTTTACATTCGCTATTTTTGAACAGTTCATTCACGAGATTAATATTTTTTGGGCTTTTTATAAATGTATCGTCATAGAGTAAGTTAATCTCGTCGATTATGAAATAGAACATTTGAACTATTGAAAGTGATTTTGTGAGATCATAAATCAATTTACGTTCGAAAATCGTACACGGGTTGAATATTGTAGGCAAATCACAAGTGTCATTTCTTTCAAACAGTTTATCGCTAATTTCGCGTTTAAAACTATTAGAATATTTTTTTGTAAGACGGTTGGTAATTTTAGAAATTAAAGATGCATCCACGACGGTTTTGGAACAAATTAAGCTTTTTAAATAGATAAAACACTCAATTTCATTGTTATCAAGATTTTTTTTCAAAATACTAAATAAACTTTTCCAAACGTAAAGCAACAAATGAAATGTCGAAATACATACGTTGACACTTGTCGGAAAGATCGATTGGAATATCACAACGTAATCAAACTCTACCAGAATGGTTTTCACAGTACCTCCCAGTTGTTTCCATGAGTCTAAACCAGTTTTCAGTACAAATTCGGTTTCTTTTGTGGCAATTATAACCCCTACGGTACCGTACCACCATTATCGCATAAACTAAGCAGAAACCACGTTATACAGTTACGACAATTAGTCGAGCATACAAACACTGTATCAGATTTTTGTTTCATAGCGGGAGTACGAATGGTCACTACGATTGCGTTGTCTACCAAATTAACTAAAGCGCATTCGGCGCTATTGACATTGTTGTAATATTTTACCATCTCCAATAACGAATTCAAACATTTGGCAAGAGGTGAAACGAATATGGTCTCGTTACTATACATATAATATAAATCAAAGATAAATTCAGCATCCGGCTTAGTTCCAAAAATGGCCGAGTTTAAAAAATGACGTTTACTCTTGTTGCACAAAGTTTGTGTCTTATATTTGTGCATTACGGCTGCGGCTGTACTTCCTTGACTTAACATCGTCGACAGTTCATCGTACACACAATGAACACTGTTTAATTCGTTATGCCAATTGAAAGGATGATAATGGCAATGTTTCATCAAAATAACAGTTTTCGTTTGAGTATTTCTATAAAAGGTAAGACAGGTTTTACTATTTTTAAAGTACTCGCAAATTTTTTTTTTTTTACATAATTTTATCAAAATATTTTTATACTAACAAATTTACGTTGGGGTTTTTTATGAGAACAGTTAAACTGGAATTACATCTAGTTTTATTTACAAACGGAGACTTGGTTTTGAGATTCCAGTAATTGTCACACTTACATCTGAATACTTTCTGCAAGAAGAAATTCATAATATTATTATATACCTAAATGATTTGATTATAACAAACCTTAGAGAATCATTATTCTAATACAATAAAAGGACTCTATATGGCTATGTTAACATGGTCAACATTTCAGAGGGACTTTTTGATTTTAAACAATTGATTTGATCATCTACAAATTAACCGGCAAACTTACACATTGATTGAATTTAAAAATAGTAGTTATTCTCAAGTCTTAATAGTCAATTGGACAAGTAAAAAAAAAAAGACTGTACTTTTCTAGTTATATTCCCAACAGGAGACCGTTTTCGATTTCCCCCAATAATCACTTATAAGAGTTTTCACTATTTAATTTTTAGATTAACAACTGTGAGATCACACAATTTTTTGGAGGGAAGAAATGGGAATAATCCCTTTTAAACAATAAAGGGGTTTGGTAACAGGTTATAAAATCGGTTTTCTAAAACTGGTTAAAACCTTTACAAAATAAAAATCAGAAATTATTTTTTACTGGTATTGTAAATGAAATCTGAAAAAAAAAATTAATGGTAATCCATAATTAAAATGTAAAACGGTGATGTAAATGAAAATAGTTTTATAAATCGAAATTGAAATAAAAAAAATTAAAACCTATAACCAAAATAAAAATAAAAAACAATATACTATAAGAACGGTATCTTAAATAATAATAAAAAATGTCCATAATCAAGTTAAAACTTTTTTTTTCAGTTTCGAACCATAATATTTTTTAGTGAATTATTGAGTTGAAAACATACTTAACATTAATATATATATATATATATTTTTTTTTTATATATTTATACCTAAATTAATACATTTTTGATATATTTTAGGAGAAACACAATATTTACAATATCTAAATCAAATTAGTTTTTTTTACTTACATAATATGAATTACTCTGAGGATTGCTTTGTGATGATTTAACATCATACAAAACTTTAGTCTTAGTACACAGAATATTGAGCCAATTTGGAAATGATGTTTTACTTAAATCGTTTACTTGAAATTTTGCTTTAAAATGTCCATGTAATAATTTTTTATAATCTATTAACCGATAATCATATCTATCTGGTAGTAACTCCTAAAAACAACAAACATTTTAAAAATATAACATATATTATTAAAAATAATAAACATGGAAAAGGCCAAATGAAATTATAAATTATTATCTTACACGATAAATATTTACATTTTTAATGAATAAAAAAAAATGTTATTTTATAGAATTTGGTGCTTAAAAATAGATTTTTATTTCAAAAATTTTCTTGAAATTCGTTGTATATTACAAAATCTAAAATTTGGCGATAAATAAATATTTTATAGACAATGCAGAGTTGCTAGAATACAGTGTCACAATACATTTTAATAAGGCTCAGATACAATTACATTGCAGCTTCCGAAAAACAACGATCTAAGTACAAAAGTCAGATTTTACAGAAGAGTGAATTAAAAATAAACCTTTCTTAACAATTATTGTATATGTACAAAAGAAAACCGGATAATTCTGACGAATTCATTAATTAATTCTTCGCAATTCTCTTTATTGACATTATTAATTTATTATCCTCGATTCGAAATTTGCAAAAATCCCATTTTCAAAGAAATTACACTTAGATCATTTTTTTTAGAAGTCGCAAAATGGAAACATATAACTTTCTTAAATAAATGTTGTAATCGAAAATTATTAATATAATAGGTTACTTTTACTGATTTTGTTATTTATAGAAATCTTAAGCATAAACAAAATATACCAATAAAATATAAATAACTTAAATAAATTATTACCTATATCATATTATATAGTCTGAAGAAAAATTCTCATCGAATAGTATAATAATAAAATTAATTTAAAAAGACTATTTTAATTAGTTTTACCTTTAAAAATAAACAGTCATCAAGACTCCATGAACACTCATCGGACTTAATTTGGCTTTGCTGATCTTTGGCCCACATTTTTAGCTCACTTAAGCTTATGTTGTACAAACTTGACAACATGACAACAAAAGCTAATGCTTTGTGTTTCAACCGAATATGTTTTTTTAATAGACTTTTGTTGTTAAATTGTTTGTAACACGATGAACAGTAGAAAGATTCACTATTTAGAAAAGTCTTTGGAAGACTATTTGGATGTTGAGTCTGTATGTGTTTTATAATATGTATTCTCAATGAAAATGTTTCTGTGCACAGACTGCATGGATACAGAAAGTCCATTTTTTTTCTATTTGAAGCTAAATAAAACATAATCATCATCATGTAGCTTAACGAAGGTTCAACGGTTCCATCATGAGATGGTTTCTTGACGAATTCGCTATCCGGGACAGGTCGTCAGTCCGTCGCCGGAGAGGGGGATGGCGGCTCCTTTCACCAGACGATAGCTCGCCCAGCAAACAGAGCGCCCATAACCGAGTGTCGAACCAGCGACAGTAAGCGCTAACACACTGCCGCCTTACCCACTCGGCAACTCCTCCTCATAAAACATAATATAAAAAAAAAAAAAAATTATGTTTGAATATTGATTGCTTAGAAATAAACTAGAGAAAAGTATATTTCAGAAGTGGCCAGAAGTGAATATTGCTTTAAAAAATACTATTACCTAAGTATTGAAATATATTACATATATTGTGTCGTATCTAAAGAAATAGCATTGGATTTTTAATGTTACATACTGACACAACAACAAATATCAAATATTAACAATACAACTAATGTAATACATTACATCTAGATTATTGCATATGCCGTCGGTAATTCAACTGGTAAACCACAAGTCCATCAAATATGTTCATTGATTATAGTTGATACTTGATATTGAAAAAAAAATTGTACAGAAATGAACTATAGAAAAATATTGTTACTATTCAAAATGTTATCAAAATAATATCATGTTGTATACAATATGATTTTTGTTATCATACAATATTAACATTGTCTAGCTTTAACTCGTGTTCTGGTAATATTTATATTATGGTCACACTGTTTATAACCAAACCAACGATATCGACAAATTATGCGGTGATTATTATTGTGTGAATGTTTTTACTTTTTCAATATTTTCTACCTCCGAGTTGGATTTCAGACCACGTGTTCATTCACAGTCATACTCTGTTGCTGCGGCCTACACGACTTGGAAACTGAACAATATAATATTAAAATAATTACACTATGGACAAGCCCGTTGTACTTTCCCGTGTGTTGAAGGTGTTGGGTCGTACCGGTTCCCAGGGCCAGTGTACGCAGGTAAAGGTGGAATTCATCGGCGAACAAAACAGACAGATCATCAGAAACGTCAAAGGTCCGGTACGCGAAGGTGACATTCTCACCCTGTTGGAGTCGGAAAGAGAAGCCAGAAGACTTCGATAAAATTTATCGTATGTATATATTATATTTATTAAAACCCGTATGGATTTAACCTACGATACGTAAAATATAATAAAATAATAATTGTATAATTACTGTAAATTACTATTATACAGGAATGTAGGAAGAAAATAACTGTAAAAATATTAAGCGGCTTATAAAATTTATGAACCAGGGAAAACTTGCCGATTGCACTAACGACTGAACGAAGTATTGATTATTTGGTCCGGTATACTTCCAGAGATATTATTTTGTGTCTTTAACCTGTCTAGCTCATCTTGAACCCTGTTCACCGTGTAAACATAATACCTGCTAGGCTCAAGATATACTGGACGGGTTATATCGTACTAACAAGTATAATACAGTGAAACCCGTCGTAAACAAAATTATACAGAACCGAAAGAAAAGTCTGTCTTATTCGGTTTCCTGATTTATTCAGTATTTTTCATGAGCAGGTTTTTTTCACTGCATCATTATTCTATTATACTATGAGTCTCGTTATTATCAAACTGTTAGGTAATCGAGTAAAACTAATTCTAGATTTTTTCATACCAATTCTTATTATCGTTCTCGCCTGTTCAGCTTAAAAATTAAAAATTAAGTATAAATTATTTTAATAGTTATAGTTTAACTACACTTAAATGTTACGCTAAACCAGGGAAAATGGCGACAGAAAATTTTAACCTAGGTATTTCATGGTTTAGTGATTAAATATTGAATACTTATTTGTTCTTTTTGTTTTAGGTTGTCAAAATTTCACCCAACTTCTACTGTTGTTGCTGTTGCTGCTGTTGTTGACACTCAAATGAGTATAATATTTACAATGTAATTTGCTAAAAATATGATTTGAGTAAAACACGAATAAAGTGTCGAACATAAATTACTGTTTTGCATTATTTTTTCACCAAAGTTAAAAATATTCTTAATTAAAAAAAGGTTCAAGGTTTGTATGGTTTTAGCGTGTCCATTGAGAAGACTTTCAATTTGAAACCGCATTTTTAGGGTTTGCTAAAAAATGTAAATTTTATGTCTCAAACTTTAAACTAGTTATTAATATTTATTAAAAATTTTCCATTTAATTTTTTTCGTGTAACTTTTTTTACTAAAATTAATTAAAAACCACCGTAAATCAAATTTAAAGTAAATAATAAGCATGTCGTGTACTTACTGTTTTGCATAGAAATATGCAACACCCCATCAATGTATAAAATTGTAATCCTTGTATTATCGATCGAAGTTGGTCACTACCCTTTACTTTTTTGTTTTTATGTATTATTGTACCATACACTTGGTCCTCTACAAAAAAAAATAACCTTGAAAATTTAAGCTATCAAATGCTCTAGAGTCTAGAAAATACCCAAGAATGATAAATGTTAGGGAATTTATGACATGGTAAAAAAAAAATTGTTAAAAAATCAAGTCTTCAAAATTACTATCAGTTACGTTAAAGTATTTTAGATTCGCACTGGTGACTTAAATTTTAGGTCATTAAATATTTGTATATTTTCAATAGGGGATAAGAGATTTTTTCGAGCCAGAATTTACATTATTTTTCATGACTGATTTATGACGACTACAAATATGTTCTGTGACAGCTTGAACTGATTTTCAACTTCATTTGTAACTGTATAAAATATTGTTCCCAGAACGAAATGCTTATACCGTTCCAAAAGACAAATTTATAACTTAAAAATATACTAAATTCTATTAAAATAATAAAAAATGTTTTTATTTAGTATTTAGTTTTATTTGAAAATGTTCAAGTTTAAAATAAGTTAGCTGTCAAATGTCATACTTTTGTTCTTTTTTTTCCTACGTTTGTTTAAGGTAAATAACAATTTTTTTTAATTTTGGCTTAGAAACGTTTTAAAAATAGTTGTCAAACAACGTGTGCATTTTAGGTCAGTTGGGCAAAACTGGCCATTTATTTAGGCACTGTATAGTTTCTTGTTTTAGACTAAATATTCCTCATAAATCCTCCATAAATCTTCACAATGGTATAGAATAGGTTTCTATATTGTAAAAAAGTGTGCGTGCCTTGTGGAAATAAGCGGATTAAAAATGGTTTAAATGATCGAACAGACAACTAAATAAGTAACTAGATTGCAAGTGAAAATCAAGCTGCTGAGCAATGAGCATTTTCAAACGGACGACCAGCGACAAACACTAAAGGGAAATTTTGTAACACTCTTGGTATTATTTTATTCAGTTGGCTTGGGATTTTTGCTGTTTTTTTCCCCATCTGTGCACTCCTCGGCAAAAGAGCACTACGCTAATCCGACCGGCTTAAACCCAACGGAAAGCGCAGAGCTTTTTCTCTTGGATTTTTCCCGGTTGGGTAATATTATTTATTTCTATAGTTAGTTTCTTGGCGATTACGACGGGCGCTAGCACCTCAATATATCTTTTAAACAACACCAATAGCCGTTCCGGTTTTATTTCCGGCCGGGCAAGCACCTAATATTCGTTTATAGAAATTTGTATTATTTTGCTCTACAAGGTACTATAAAATGTGTGTACAGATTCCTGTGCTTTTATCACGTTGCTACGGATGTAAGTAAGTACCGTACGTTATGATTAGATAAATATGCGACAACTCCATTCTTCATTCGAGTAACAAATAAAAGTACCTAACTATGCGTACATAGCTGTTGGTCTTTGTGTAATTTTGTTTGTTGCAGACATCTGTGTGAATATACAATGATTTCGCAGATATCCTCTTAAAATATTTACAGGACAATTTTGCATAAAAAAAAACTTCTAATGTACATTCAAAACAGGTTTGGGCTTCAAAATAAATATTTTAAGCAAATATTTCTCTTGTAGCGCCGAAATGATAGTTTTCCTTTGTTGCCTTCAAGTGGCTAAGTACATTTTAGGGACGTACATGATTTCGGGATTAAATTTACGTTTGAATTTATACTAATATAATTTACAAATTCAACATAAGTGACCCGCAACGGGGTAAATCTGTCAGTCTAAAATCGAGCTGAACGTTTGTTATGGGTGATAGGCGATAACCCTAATCGTGTCAACCTAAAAAAATACAATTTCAAACAAATTTTTGCAATTTCGTACTGCTTTTAGTTGTAATAAATCTTGAAGACTAGGACTAGGAAGGGTCTCCTGGATTTTTAGCGGGAAGGAGATCCTACTATAATATATTTGCTGTACTAGTTTTTTTTGTTTTGTTTTATTAGTTCTTGTACGTATTAAAAAAACTTGAAAACAAGACTCTCTCGAGGTGTATAACACCGGCTTTTACGAGTCACGAGCGTTGTGCACGTGTAAGTCGAAACTTTTGTCTTGTTTGTAAAACATATACCCCTATTATATTATTATATGTACGGTGTTGAGTAGAACGGCGTGGTGGTGCGTAAAACGATGTCGGTTTAAAACTGTGAACATTTAATCTGACGCGCGTTATCATATTATAGTGCTGTATAAGAGTCTAACACTGGCATCGTGCACGTGGGAATTGTACAGTTCAAAGTTTGTGCTTGTACAGTAGTACCTATATATATATATAAACACATACATATTATATTATGAAAGCTTGTGTATCTATATGTGATGATGTGACGCACCTACCGCGGGGCAGCGCCGTACGATTTTCTGGTTTCTTTTGCGCTATGTTAATAATAGTTATAATTGTGCAAAAACTCCGATGACAGCCGGTTATACGAACATTTGTTAAGAACTTAACTTATTGTTAATAATATTTGACTAGTTAGTGAAAATTGGATTTCATCGAGATTTGACAACTTCGATATAACCCTTTATTAGGCAACCAGAAGTTATTTTATGTAGGTAGATTAGGGAAAATGGAATGGCACAGACTTACATTATAGGTTCATATATCATAATTTAGTGTATTTTGTAATATTTAGACAATATTATTATGTTTTGCCTGTCCTGAATAAAACAGTGGAAATAATTCTTCACATTACCTACTTAGTACTTTTTTTTAGGCCTTCAAAATAGAAAAAAATATTTTAATGAACTTGATGACAAACTATTTTTAGAAAGGTATAACCTATCTAAACACAGTGTTAACATTTTTAATATAAATTATTTATATAAACCGAAACGTCCAAAAAAGTAAAATAAAATGCCAAATAATAACAAACTACAAAGCTCAAACTGACAAATTAAATAATACAATCACTTATCAGTTATCACATATCTTAATAACCAATGAGAACGTCGTAATCGAGGTAACCGCTTTGGTAACTCAACTAACGTTTTGTTAACCTAACAAATGGAATTTAATCAATGCTGATGATATGGTGAAACTTATTTCATTTAAGTAAACTAACATTGTGTTTAGAGTGTATGTAACAATAGTCGGTGAAACCGGCTGCGAGTGTATTTATTTGTATTATTATAACATTAACGTGATCGCTTTGTGTAGTGTATTTTCTACAACTACAGTCTACAGCACAGTGCAAAATGTACCTACCTCGGCCAGCTGGCAGCTGCTGTACACTGTCCGTCGTCGCATTGACGCGCGTTGAAAACTTTTCCGCCGCTTTAATGGAATTTATAACGATTCCCCCGTGCAAACATCACCGCGTTGTTTATTTATTTACTATTGTTGAACGGTAAAAATAAACGAGAAAAATTACACGGTGTCTGTTTTTTTTGTAAATTTTTAATACTACTCTCTACATAATAATATCATGCGCTCCACCCGTCGCGGTCGTCGCAATGCCGTGTAAACCGTCTCAATACCACTTCTGTGCACCTATACTTTTATATGTATAGTTTCCACGCACACCGTGTATGGTATTTCGAATTCCACTTGGCACGCAATGCTTTATCACTTGTCTTCGAGACCGTTATACATACCGAACACAATGTCCCGGAAAAGCTTTCCACAAAGGAAATACATAAATATTTATACAATATCAAATGTCAACATCTAAACGTGTGTCTGTTGACATCATGACATAGTTTTTTTTTTGGGGGGGGGGGGCCAAAAAAAACTATAACGGCCTCTGAAAACAGCCCTCCAAGTACACATATATTCCTCCATCTATCTCTGTTCTTCATTGCTTCCCTCCATTGTACTCCAGATTCTATCGCTCCTACGTCTTAAGCAATACAGTCCTCCCATTTTAAGCGAGGTTTTCCTGTACTGTTTCCCCCAAGCCCAGTCTTCTGGCTGAGATTTCGTTTGTAATGTTCGGGCGTTGAAAAAGGTCCCGGAGTTCTTGATTATGTCGTTTCCTCCACTCCCCTGTTCGATTACCCTTGCATGGTCCACAAATCCTTCTTAGAATTTTTCTTTCGAAAACTTCTGACCTAAATATTTCTTAAACTATCATAGACAAACAATTTTTTATTTTTTTTATAAAAATGTAGCAATGATATTATTATATCATTGCGAAATATAAACCAAAATGACTCCACAGTGCATGCATTATTATAGAAGATACATTATTTTTTGGGTAATTAAAAAAAAAAATCGAGTAATATGAGTAACAGTAGTTAAATACTATTAAGCTAACAGATTAAGATACTTGGCATCATAGTTGGAGCTTTCTTGAATTGAGTTGAGTTGCATGTAATTAGTAATAAATAGTTTTTACGCCGTCAAACTGATAGATCTTTATCCGTTGAGAAAATAAGTCAAGTAAATAAATGAGGCAATGAGTAAAAATTGAGCTAGCAAACAAGTTTGTTGAGTAAATAAATCGAGTAAACGAGTAGATGAAAATGACCAGTTAACAAACCGAATAAACAAAAAAATTAATTGAATAAGTGAGTAAACAAGCTGAGTAAATAAAACGCAAAAACTAAAAAATTCGAAAAAACGAGTAAATATTTATTTATTTATTTTAATTATTTATTTATTTATTTATTAACGTCCAAAGG